ACTCCAGCCTGGGCGACAGCGTGAGACTCTGACTCAAAAAAATAAAAATAAACAAATCAGTGTTTAATACTTTAAAAATATTATTTACTGGCTGGGTGCAGTGGCTCATGCCTGTAATACCAGCACTTTGGGAGGCGGAGGTGAGAGGATTACCTGAGCCTAGGAGTTCAAGACCAGCCTTGGCAGCATGGTGAGACCTTGTCCCTACAAAAAAAATAATAAATAAATAACCAGGCGTGGTGGCACATGCCTGTGGTTTCGGCTACTTGGAAGGCTGAGATGGAAGGACTGCCTGGGTCCAGTAAGTCAAGGCTGCAGTGGCTGTGAGTGTGCCACTGCACTCCAGCCTGGGTGACAGAGTCAGACTTCAACTCAAAACAAAACAAAACAAAAAATATTAGTTACCCTCATTAGGGTTTAGAAATATGTCAAATAAAACTCTACATTTGAGGCTGCTCTTGAAAAATTACCATATCTGGTCTTCAGTGATGACAGTGGAACTAAGGAGTGGTGTCCCTTTTCAGACAAGGTTTGCACTCACTCCCCAAGTTTACCCCTGCCTCCGTCCAGCTGGCATCACTCATTTTTCTGCTGCCCCCATCCTTGCTCTCCTGATGCCCACTGAACTGTAATTGGCCCTTTCCTGATGGTCCTGGTGAATAAAGTAGCTCATGCTCCAACCCACCCAGCTCTTACCTTCTCTTATCTGATATGCTCCAGGCAGCCTGTCCAATTTACTGGACAAGGGTTGAATCAAGGTCCACTCTTGTTTATGAGTATGGAGGGGCAAGTGGCAGAGGCACTGGGAGCCAAATGACTTGGAGCAGTTGGGGCCCTAGAGAACCAGGCTCCCATCAGGGGAAAGGATTGCACAGCCAGGGCACACTTGTTTATATAAGATCCTTATCCCGGGCCCTGGTAGCCTCAGACTGAGCTCAAACGTTTTGCTTCCCAGCTCTGCATGGAAGAGGCCTGAACCAAAGCGGCTAATTTCTTGGCTGGGAAGGGAGAGCACGTGGGTGTGATTCCACAGATGAGCAGAATGGAGGTGAGCAAAGTTGCTATTGGAACACTCCTCTTCCCACCCACTTTGTGTGTTAACGAGCACGTAGCCCAGTTTGGTATTAAACCACAAGCAGACCAGTGGAGCCAATGGGTTAGAGTTGCCCTGTGACCTACTGAAGAGGTCAGATGCCTAGCAAGGATAGTGTTCATTTCCACAAGAAGGACAGAGGTCAAGGAGTTCATTCAGTTAACAACCATTCATTCAGCAGGAACTTAGAGAGTGCCTACTTTTTAAGCAAAAGATTGAGAATCATCTTTCTAGGGAAGAGACCACAGGCTGCTTGAATGGTGTTAACTGCAACCATTTTTTAAGGTGCTAGTAAGTACTCTTACTTTTATCTATCTATTCATTTATTTATTGAGTCAAGGTCTCTGTCACCCAGGCTGGAGTGCAGCAGCACTATCATGATCACAGCTCACAGCAACCTCAATCTCCTGGGTTCGGGCAATCCTTCCACCTCAGCCTCCCACATAGCTGGGACTACAAGCACGTGCCACCATGCCCGGCTAATTTTTTTATTTTTTGTAGAGATGAGGTTTAGTTACGTTGCCTAGGCTGGTCTTGAACTCCTGGGCTTAAGTAATCCATTCAAAGTGCTAGGGTTACAGGTATGAGTCACCACGCCTGGCCCCTACTGTTACTTTCCTTCCAGTTATCAGTATGCCAGAGTGTCCTTCTTCATCTCAGGATGGATTCAGAGCCCTTGAAGAGATGCAGTTAACTTCTATGTGGAAAAACAAATCACATTTTATTTAATATTTCAATGTGCCAGGACTATGTTAGATAGTTTATGGATCTCACTGGATCTTAATAAAATTTTTAAATGTAATCTATTCTTTTTTTGAGTTGGAGTCTCATTCTGCCTCCCAGGCTGGCACACAGAGGCACCATCATGGTTCACTGCAGCGTTAACTTCTTGGACTCAGGCGGTCCTTCTGCCTCAGTCTCCCAACTAGCTGGGGCTACATTCACATGCCACCACACCTGGCTAATTTTTTGATTCTTTTGTTTGTATACACAAGGTCTTGCTACGTTGCCTAGGCTGCTCTCAAACTCCTAGGCTCAAGCAATCCTCTTGCCTAGGCCTTCCGTAATGTTGGGATTACAGGTGTGAGATTGGGATCTATTCTTAATCCTATTTTACAGATGGGGAAATTGAGGCCTGGTTGAAGGAACTAGTCCCAGCTTGCACTGCTGGTAGGTAGGTGGGAAAGCTGAGACTAGATCTCCCCATGCATCCTGACCCCCTAACTTCTTTACAGTACTGCCTCACTGTGCTTGCAAACTGCCCCCTTATCAGGGGGGCGTCTCACCCAAGCAAGAGAAGATTATTACTTACTCTACTTACCAGCCCAAATTACCTGGCAGCTCAACTAATTGAAAATAATGATAGCATCCAAGCAGTGCTAATTTGCTCTCCAGCAATCGCAGAATAATGGGGGATGATTTAGAATCAAAAGCTGAAGAACAGAGGTCATTTAATCTAATCCCCTAATTTCTAAGACAGAAAAAAAAACCCCGAGGAGCTTGTAGAAACACACACAGCTATTTAGGAAGAAGAACCAGAACCACGACCCATACATGCTCCTTCCCAGCCCAGAACTCTTTTCTTGTCCCATTCTTCGAAGGGCCAGGGGTTCTGGTCCTGGCCTGGAAGTCAGGGCACTGGAGACCTCACCTCACTAGCTTTCCTTTCCAAAGGCTGCTACAGGGGTCAGACCCACAGACCTGGGACTTGTTTGTTGCAGTACCACAGACTCCCCCGCCCAAAACTCCTTATCAGGAGCCAGGATGGGCTCTTAATCTGCAGCTTGCAGGACCTTGTCTATACTCTGGGGAGGTGCATTATCATCCACAAACAGCTGACTGAATATAGGTCCCCCAGGCTGGTACTGTTTACCAAGTGGGGAAGCTGGTAGCAGAACAGACCAACGAATACCTAGTCCTTGGACACAGGAGAGCCACCAGCTGCTACTCCTCAAGCCATTCCAGGCCACAGCCCCAGTACCCCAACTGGCCAAGGGATACTCTTCACTTCTATGGAAACTGGTCAGATCTGAAATAAGTAACATATGGCTTGATCATAGAACCTTCTAGTGTAAAGTGAGGGACTATGAGTCTACCAAGAGCCCAGAGCAACCCCAAGATGGAGCTGCCATTTTGTGGCTTCACCAGCTTGACAACGTGGAGGTGGGTGAGGTGTACTCTCATCTCCAGACAAACCTCCCTGAATGTCACTGCTTTCCACTGCTCAATGAAGTATCCTTCATGAGGGGGCCCTTTTAGGAAATGAGAAAATCGATGTTGACTTTGTACCAAACACCCAAAGATAGCACATTAGGGTGGGCAAAAAACCCTCACCCCTAACTTTGTCCTAATATCCAAAACAGTAGGCCTACGACATTTTTGTATTAGAAGCAACAAGTGAAAATAGAACGATTCCTTTAAATAACAAGTGGCGGCCAGGAGCAGTGGCTCAAGCCTGTAATCTCAGCACTTTGAGGATTGCCTGAGGCCATGGGTTCGAGAACAGCCCGGGCAACTTGACAAGACCCCATCATCTCTACTATAAATCAAAAAATCAGCTGGGCGGTAGCATGTGCCTATAGTTCCAGCTACTTGGAAGGCTGAGGTGGAAGGATCGCCTGAGCCCAGAAGGTCGATGCTGGGGTGGCCATAAGCATGCCACTGAAATGAATAAATGAATGAATAAATACATAAATAAATACAAGTGGGTCTCAATCTATTTAGGATGCAGTTGACATGGCCTCTCCTCTCCCCAGCCCTGCCTCCCCTGTGCTCCTTGCCCAATGCAAGTAAACCGCATACACACAGACTCCCTGGGCCACGTCCAGCCTAGCACACCTAGGACAAACTGGATGTTTACTGAGAAAGGTCATGGAGGTATGAAACGGAGGGGGTTTACCACTGTGCATGAGCCAACATACTTAAAGGTTACTTTAAATACAGCCCACCTATGGCCAAGAAAAAAACTAGCCCAGGTAAAAAATGTACTTATGTTCAAGCGCAGTGGCTTATGCCTGTGATCCCAGCACTTTGGGAGGCCAAGGCGGAAGGATTGCTCGAGCCCAGGAGTTCAAGACCAGCCTAGGCAACACAGTGAGATCTCATCTCTACAAAAAATAAAAATAAATAAAGTTTAAATGGACTTGTGAACTCTGTGGGAAACTGCTGACCCTGTGTCAAAACCTCATGGAAAGAACCTAAAAGTCAGGGATGATCAAGACGGTTCTTATTTCCTTGTATATTGCCAAAGGGAGTTATACATTGGTAACAAACCCTTGCCTGTCACACCAACATTTGCTGTCAGAAGTAGCTGCTCCCTGGCTAGACTGTGGCATTGGATTCGGAGGCCCAGCTGCTCTTGTCTAATAAGACGAGTATGGTAGGTAGCAAATGACATTCCCCGAGATGACAAGAGAATCTTTACTAGGAACTGCCCCAGCCTAGGAAGGAATTTGTTATTCCCTGCTTCCCACCTCTGGTCTGTGAGAGACAGACTGTGTCTTAATCATTTTTAATGATTAAGCCTAGCATTTACTGACAATACATACTTGCTGAATGAATGAATCAGTGAAACTAAGGACTACCAAGAACTGGATGCCTAAGATGGAGACTTGGCTAGACTAAGCAATGTTCAGACTAGAACTCTGCTACTTTTGACGTTTTCACAGGAAATTGTTAGAATCTGCATTAAAGGAGGGATGTAAGGAGGTACTTCCCAGGGAAGAGGGGATTCTTGGAAATGGTCCAGCCACACCCCCAGGTTTTTCTTTTATACCACCCACATGCTCTAGATTGTCTGAGTGCCACTTTAGAGAAATACTATGAAGCACGAAGAAAGGATTTGGAGCTGAGAAGGAAATGCAAATCAACAATGTGGGAATTTTATCTTCTCTACACATGAGTTCATCTGCTACGTTTTTATTAAAGTAACAAAAAAGGTGTACATTTGTCCATAAGCTGTACATTCTTCCATATAAAAACACTATTATACAATTAGTAACCTTTGTCTTTTCTGTCAGAATAGCTTACAAATGTACGACTATTATTTATTTTACTTAATAGGAGAGACAGGCCTGCTCAACAGTCCAGCTCGGGGGTTTTGTTGCTTTTTTTAAAGTGAATATTAAAAAGAAGAGAAAAGATTAAGCATGAGACCATGAGGCTGCTTCTAAAAAGGCAGGGACCTGTTTGCAGACAAGATGCAAGGACACAACCTGCAGTGATTCACAGCTTTGTTTTAACCCACAGGCCAGAAAATTAGCTGTTGGGTCTGTGGGCCCAAAGTTAACTTTAAAGCAATAAAGACTGGAAGCAGAGTCTGGGAAGGCAGCATGAAACCCGGAGAGTTGAAAAGGAGGCAGAACTGGTAGGAATGGCTAGGGAGGGTGTTTGGTAAATAGCACCTTTGAATAAAAACTGAGTAAAGGAATTCAGGAAAGAGGATTGGCTGTGGGGAGGAGAACTTGGGGCTAGAGGATGTGGGGGGAAGATTCCTCACTATGGGGCAATAGCAGGAGGGTAACCAGGTTGGCCAAATGCTCTAGCTCTGTCCTTAAGATGATTCGGTCTGGGAAACTCAAGGCCTTCTGAGAACCCCTCACCAGCATCACTGAGAAACTGAAGGAAGGGGGTTTCTTCCCAGTGTGGTTTTCCATTTTCCTCCAACAGACAACAGTAAATATTGCACAAGTCTACAGACAAATTTGGATTGTACTGAGAGAGACAGCAACCTCTCCCACAGGCGCTCTGAGCACCAGGGAGAGAAAACAGTGCCCAAGATTTGGCTTTTAGTGTCAGCCCTACAAGAATACCAAGTAGTCTTGCAGAACACGGGGCACTCTCCCATCCAGCCAAGGAATACCTGCAAGGCCGACCAGCCAGCCATAATCCCAAGGAGAGTAGGAGAGATGGTTCCCTAAGCCCACCTGGGCACCAGGAGGTTCTGAGAGCCAGTCCTCCAGACCCTCCTGGGACCCAGGGGGCATATTGCACAGAGACTGAGAACTCTTGTCCTAGAACATGGGGTAGCTCCATGACCCAACCAGAAGGGAAGGAGCTGGAGAGGAGTGTTGTGCTTTTGAAAAGAAGGCAGTAATCAAGGACATGGAGTTCCCTGTAGCTTTTGAGCCACCTCTCAAAAGGATAATGGCAGCAGCATCAAGACTTTCATGTGGTTCCAAAAAGAAGTTTTGGCCAAAAAACATCCCCAGTGGATACTCTTTGGGTCCCAAAATTCCATTGCAAATCACCCCCAAATTATTCGCCACACATACACACAAAGCAGCACATAGCAAAGCAAAGATTTTGTGCAGTTCCCTTCCATCCTACTCCCAATAACCTCCAACTGCCTCCCCCCCAAAAAACCCCAAAAGTCTTAGATTACTGGCTGGGAAGCAACATCTACAGGCCCCTGAGGGTAGAATTAGAAACAAGTCATGATTTCAAGAAAAGCTGCTTAGAACAGAAGAAATCAGGAGAGGCCTTTTCACTCTCTGCCCAGGATGTCATTAGAAAAAATAAGAGAAGATTAGGCAACATAGTATTATTTAAGTCCAGGCTTGAATGCCCCTGAGTAAGAGAGGAGCCAGGGATGCAGGTGTCCCTGTAGAGAGAGAGAGTTGAGAAAGAGAGAGAGGCTTAAACTTGGCCTCTCTTCTCCCCCAGGGCACATCCTGACCTCTCTCATTCACAGTTGCTAACCTTGTTTGCTCCCTCTCACATCTTCCCGGGGTGCTAGCCAAGTTTCTCCCACTTCACCTTGGCTAGGTCTACCCCCTAAGCGTTCCCCCTTCCCATAGGCAGACACACTGGCTCATAGATTTAAGCACACAACAATTCTCTCCAAAGGCACCTGGGGAGGCCACTTTCAAGCAGCTCCCTTTAAGGATTTTTTTCTTTAAAAAATCTTTTGGTTTTTTTTCTCCTCTTTTCTTAAAAAAAATAATATATATATAAATAGCTCTTCATTTAAAAATACAGTTCCCCAGGTTGAGGTATGTGGTGGCCTGTTGTCACAGCAGAATGAGTACAGTAGCATGCCAGAGTGGGGAGCGGCAGGGGGCGTCTAACTGGAGACTGCCATCACGTAGTTCTTCGAGGGGCTGCTCCGGCCCAGCAGCATCTGGTTTTTGCAGGTGAGGAGCCCGTAGGAGGCGGCCACCGGGGCCTCTTCATACAAGACACAGATGGAGCCATCCTCCCCAATGCGGTAGGACACCTCGTAGGGGTCCACCCACAGGGTCAGTTCGCTGGGCAGCAGCCGGTGCAGCTGGGGCTGGCTGAGTCCAATCTGGCTAGCCACCTTGCTGATGATGGGGTCCATCTTGTGGTTGATGCGGATGCAGCGGTAGCCAGAGCCCTTGGATGGCTTTTCGGGAAACCAGTGGTGTTTGTAGTGCTCTGAGGAGACAGGATAAGGGGGAGATGCCCTGGTTAGAGAAGCTGGGCCATGATATTACCACAAGGGTGGGGGGGGGGGGGATGGGGGGGAAAGGAGGGAAGAAGGAGCC